CCAGAGTCTCTCTGGCACACAGAGGGGAAGTTTGGCATTACCAAAGATGTAATTATACAATAGCATTTTTTTAAGTTATGAACACTACAGAATCATAGAATTGTTTAGGTTGTAAAAGACCCTTAAGAAATAATAAAATTTATTATTTATTGAGATAAAAGACCTCAAGTCCAGCCATAAACCTAACACTGCCAAGTCCACCACTAAACCATGTCCCCTAAGCACCACATCTACACATCTTTTAAATACCTCCAGGGATGGTGACTCCAGCACTTCCCTGGGCAGCCTGTTCCAATGCTTGACAAGTCTTTCAGTGAATAAATTTTTCCTAATTTCTGACCTAAACCTCCCCTGACAACTTGAGGCCACTTCCTCTTGTCCTATCACTTGTCACCTGGCAGAAGAGACTGACATTCCCCTTGCTACAACCTCTTTTCAGGTAATTGTAGAGAGTGATAAGGTCTCCCCTGAGACTCCTTTTCTCCAGACTAAACAACCCCAATTCCCTAAGCCGCTCATCATAAGACTTGTTCTCTAGACACTTCACCAGCTTTGTTGTCCTTCTCTGACACACCCCAGCACCTCAATGTCTTTCTTGTAGTGAGGGACCCAAAACTGAACACAGTATTCGAGGTGCTGCCTCACCAGTGCTGAGTACAAGAGGACAATCACTTCCCTAGTCCTGCTAGCCACACTGTGTATGATACAACCCAGGATAGTATTGGCCTTCTTGGCCACCTGGGCACACTGCTGGCTCATATTCAGCCAGCTGTCAACCAACACCTCCAGGTCCTTCTCCGCCAAGCGGCTTTTCAGCCACTCTTGCCCAAGCCTGTGGCATTGCATGGGGTTGTTGTGACTCAAGTGCAGAACCTGGCACTAAGCTTTGTTGAACCTCATACAATTGGCCTCGACCCATCACTCCAGCCTGTCCAGATCCCTCTGTAGAACCTTCCTCCCCTCAATCAGACCAACACTCTCACCCAACCTGGTGTCATCTGCAAACTTACTGAGGGTGAACTTGATGCCCTCATCCAGATCCTTGATAAAGATAGTAAACAGAACCAGCCCAAATACTAAGTCCTGGGGGACACCACTTGTGTTTGGCAGTCACTTGGATTTAACTCCGTTCACCACGACTCTTTGGGCCCAGCCATCCAGTCAGTTTTTTATCCAGTGAAGAGTATGCCCATTCAAGCCTTGAGCAGCCAGTTTCATCAGGAGAATGCTGTGGGAAATGGTGTCAAAAGGCTTTACTAAAGGCTAGATAGCAACATGCACAGCCTTTCCCTCATCCACTAAGCAGGCCACCTTGTCTTAGTAGTAGATCAGGTTAGTCAAGCAGAATCTGCCTTTCATAAACCCATGCTGACTGGGCCTGTTCACCTGCTTGTCCTTACGTGCTGTGTGATGGCACTGAAGGTGATCTGCTCCATAACCTACCCTGGCACTGAGGTCAGGTTGACAGGCCTGTAGTTGCCTGGATCTTCCTTCTGGTCCTTCTTGCAGATGGGTATCACATTTGCTAATTTCCAGTCAACTGGGACCTCTCTGGTTAGCCAACACTGCTGATAAATGATGGAAAGTGTCTTGGTGAGCACTTTTGTCAGCTCCTTTTTTTTTTGCATATATTGCAAATAGCACACACATCAGGTGCCCAAACTGCTCTTGCCTCATCCCATTTCTCTTGTCCTCCCCCATCTTACATGCAGTTTACAGCTCATCTGTCTAGGTCCTTAACTTTGATCTCATGTACACTTCCGTAGTTTACTTGGAATAGCCCCAAAGCCTCCACTCTGTGTGGCTCTTCTACTCCCCTTCCCCAGTCCTGTCCACGACAGCACAACTCTTGTCTCTAGCTTCAAACAAACCCCCAGTGCCTACTTCTCTCTTGTTCACAGCTGCCAGGCACACTACTCTTCATCTTCACAGCCACATCAATGCTGGAGTATTTAAGGAGCTCATAAGTTATATTCACCACTGGCATACAATTTTGCTGGAGTGATGACTACTTCACCATTGACTTCATAGATTCCTTCCACACCTATGTACCTACAAGAGTAAGAGAAAACAACAGACTGACTGAATACAGTGATTCTAGTTAAACAATCACTTTACAGAATTCTTTTCACTGTGCTCCATCATTTCATGTCTGGTTGCGCATTTTTTTTTTTTTTTTTTTTTTTTTTTTGTCTTCACCATTTCTCACAGTAAATTTATTCTAAACTCTGATTCTGCTGATGGCTTGAAACATTCTACACTGGTTTATCCACTGCTAGCTGGTAATATTTGTTTTGGGCAAGCACTGCCCTTTACCTTAAGGAGTAAACACCTTAACTTGAGGGTATCTGAAGAGAACATTTATCTCCTCTCTCAATATTCACTTTTCTAGATTATGTGAATATTTTTGAGGACACGTTTAGTCTCTTACAGACATCCATGTTTCTACAAACTGGTATCTAATCCAGCTGGAAGGAGTGTAATCAAGCCATCACAGTTTTGTGTCCAAAGAATCAGGTTCTCCAAAGACCATGGTTACAGAGCTTAGGTGCCAGGGCTTGATGTGCCAGCTTGTGGTCTGCTTAAACCACAGGGAGGCAGAGCAAAAAGGCATTGTAGTATAATCCTTTCTCTGCTGACAGAAACTTACATTAACCTGATAATCTTAGTAGTTGCCTTACCTGTTCAAATCAAACTCCACCTTTCCTGAACACATAACCACACTGTACATAGCACTTCAGATGCAGTCTCATCTATTCTTCCCCAATCTCTACCAGAGATACTTCATCTCATACATTCTAGACTGTATTTTTCATTATTCTAACACACTTGCAATTTCTAGTCATCTGAGATTACCTAGATCCTCCTCCACACATTCCAACTCGTGAACTTCTCAAATAAATAATTTTTATTCCCTACATACATGACTCTTGCTATTAAATTCCATTCTATCTCTATTACATTCTGGGTTCTGGGTGTTTTTTTGTTTGGTTTGGGGTTTTTTTAAATATATTTTATGCCTTCACTCTTTATATCATTAATATTCTTCTATGTATTAAGCAATTATAATTAATCAAAACTTTACATTAGAATCAGAGGGTATTTCCTGAGTAACTTTGCCAGTAACTTTCTTCCAGAATGACAGTACTGTTAATAAAATATTATCTCTCCTTCAGCCAAGTCATTACACACCTTAAATTCTTGTATGAATCCCCATCTTTTCTAGCTGAACTAGTAATTTCCCATGTAACAGTGAATTTTCCAGGTCTGTCCAACAAGTTAGAAACTTTAAGATGCTAAAGAAAAATGCAATTGTAAGTAGCAATTAAAATGAGAACGATGACTTGTAAATTCTGCATAAATATTTTATTACGTATAAAAGGCAACTTACAAGGATAGATGCTCTAGTAAAACAAATCACAGGTCTTTTTCACAAAACGATTCAAATGCTTTAAAGAGCATTTTAGAATGCCTCTTCCCTCTTCTACAGCAATATATTATGTAGTGACTGATAACAAGTAGCAAATATACCGCAATATAGCAATGGCTGGTGTTTCTAATGATGCCATGACAATGCGAAAAGAGCACCATACAGAATCCAAATTTGGATTCACAGCTCTTCAATCCTCAAGTCAACAAAACCAGGCAGAGTTATGGAGTCAAATACTCAGTCTGCAGACTTTTAAACAGACCTTTGCAAAACATCTCCTTTGGGATGTAAACTGGCTCTGGCAAATACAACTCTCTTCATTCTATTTAAAATGGAGACAATTGGAAATGACGATGGGAAAGAAAAAAAAGGAAATAATATGAAGTCCTGGAAAACAGCATCAGAAGACAAACTCATTCAAGAAAAAACCCCCACAGACTACCTGTTTTCTTAGAGTACATATACATGCTCAATACAGGATTAACATTTTAAAGTCATCATGTAAACATTTAACCTTCTCACAGATCAGATCAATTTTGTTTAGTATTGTTATTTTATATACAAGATCCATACAAAGGAGTTTTTTTGGTTTTCTTTTTCAAGACCTTGAAAAGGCACTACAAAAAGTAACCAAAATACCACAATGTGACTAGTAGTTTGCTCTGTGGAATGTCATGTACACCATTAAAAGTACAGGTGTTATTTAATCAACCTGTCTTTGACTTTTTATTATAGCTAGATGAGCAAAGAGGAGTGTTGTCATTTAAAAATCTGAGTTGCACAACTTTTTTCTAACTGCGTATGTCTGAAAAGTTTACGATTATCAGTTTGTAAACTACATCAGGAACAACAGTCAGTGCCTGACATGTAAACAGTTAACTATACATAATTACATAGTTAATTTCATGTTAGGATATGCAGGTTTGAGCATTGTACAAGGCATAATATGTTCTCAAGGTATAAGGTTTCTCCCAAAAATGAGAACGTGAGGTTATTGCAGCGATACTAAAGCTTTCTAAAGACTAAAGTCTCATGCAAGAGACTTTTCTGTTAGTTGTCATAGGAAAAATAAAATAATTAAAAAAACCCCTTTCAAATGCCCACTCTTTAATATGACACTAGAGAGTAAAAAAATCTAATACTTCAGTAGTCACATTTCCATCCTACAGAAGACAACTGCACACCTGCTTATGGGTTCAGCATGTTACAATGATAAAAATGTAACAACTACTTCATTTTTATTATTTACATTTGGTTTTGGCATAATATTAGCTAGAACAGAGAAAGTGGCTTGTGCTATTCCACTCAGCTTATACTTTGGCAAAGAGGACAATGTCTGGGTTCATAATCCTACAATGTGACATTTAAACTTTTATTTTTAAGATTTTTATTTTTTAAAAAAATTTATATAAAAACATTTTACGGGGATTATGTTTGGATAATTTTTAATTGTTCTGTATTTTGAGTCTAAACCAAGTGACAAATTGTATTTCTATCTTTACTTTTCATACTACTGTATTAATTTTTTAATACACACAGAGTAAATACTTTTACAGACAAGAGAAAAATGATCTCATAATTTCAATGTTAGGTGGAAATTTTTAAAAAACACTGGAGGACAAGAAACAGGAAAACACAAATGCATAAATGCAGCTAATTTTCACATATTATATAGTAATCCTCTTGCTCACAAATAAACTCGCTGAGTAGCTTACTTTTATGACAAAGCAGTGTAACAAAACCATTAAATGATACTGCCATATCTGAATTTAATTTAGTTTTTTTTCAATGCATGTGTTGTTATTACTAGAAATCTTTACAGGTAAAAGGAGATTCCTAGTACAAGAAGGAATATTTTCAGTATATGTTTTCTTATGTGTAGTTATCTATTATTACAGGAGAGGTAATTTCTCTTATGTACTGCTAGAACTAGGGCAGAACATAATACTTGATCATTTTACCAAATACCTACAAACCAGAGAACATGCATGATTAAACATCCACAAGATGCAAGTCTGCTCCCATGAACATCATACAAGTATTCCTAAAACATCTGAGTCTCACTTTCGATCAGAAAATCTCACATTGATGGAGTTTCCAGGAGTCAAAAGTCCATGGGTTTTGGCATGAACTGGTTCGGTTTTGGAAGAAATTTTGATCTCAAAATTCTGAAGCAACTGTGAATATAAACAGGACAAGTATTAGGAAAGTTGCAAAATTACAGATGAAGATTAGATTTTGGAAAAGACAACAAAACAGACTGTCACAAACAAAATTTCTGTTGCCAGTTCTGTGGAGTTTAAGTTCTGTGATTCCCACAGAGTAAAGAAAAAATAGTTGTTACAAGGTGAAGATTATTATAGTTAAAAATCTTCCTCCTCTGACTGAGGACTCAGCCAGTCCTTTCTGAAGAATTTCCACACAACTAGATTAAGCAGCCTGAGCTATCAAAGAAACTATGGCTTCTTTCAAATCTTGTGAGCTTCCTCTCTACATGTTTTTTACTTCAATATAAATCACTATATTAAACTATAAAACAAAGCAATAAAAGAATCCCAATCCCATGCAACACTCCTCTTCCTGGGCAGAAGGAAACAAAACAATCATGAGACAGCAACTGTTCAGCACACCAAGTGAAACAATCGTAATTCAAGGAGTCAAATATTAGAATCTCTCCTGAACAGAATCACTATAATTCAATCACGCAGGTTATCTCTACATTAAACCTCTATTTCCATACATGGAAAATACCTCAACATCCTCAACTTTTCCTAATATTAAATCTCAAACATTTTTTCCTATAAACTAAGCAATCTTCTCTTAACCTTCTCCTAGTAAGCATGATAAACAATGCATTATTTTCTTGAACATAACTACCTTTTCAGTGTTAGATGTTTGATCAAATTTTTATCTCATTCTTCTTTTTCAAACCTCTAATTCTTGTTATCCTGTCTGCCAAATTTCCTCCAATTTTATTATATTGTTGTTAAAATGAAGTGCATCAAGTCAGTTGTGTATCACTGTCTAGCTGAGGATTCAGTATTTGGTGAGACTGAGTAATTTAGCTCCTCTTTCTAACATACGACATGCTTGATAATACTGTTAAGATACCCAAGAATTACACTGCCTTGTCAGAATTAGCATCACTATTGCTGACTGATTTTTTACTGTATCATTCCAGTCTTTCTACGGTACTAATTACACAGTTCGTCAGCAATCTGTATTTATGCATTTGATTTCTTCTCAAGAGCAGTAACTTACAACTGTCCTTAGAGAGCAATTTTGTGTTGATTCTGGAATATATCTTCAGTTTTTTTTAATTTTGTATTCACATCCTCTGATTCTAACTCAGTTCATGTCAGCTTGGTATCCTATGCAAACTCTAAATTCTCTAATCCACCATTTACACTGTTAATGAAAATACCAACCTAAATCAAATACAGGACAGACTCTTACAGAATTTTAATTAAACGCTTTCCCAGTTCAACAGCAAATATTAGACAGCTACCGCCTCCAGCTATTTCTTTTTTGCTAACCAGTTGTGCATGCATTTTACAGATACTTCCGTCTGGAACAGATTTTATCAATTTAGTCGTGAGAACAATGTATAGGATGTGAAAATACTTCCTGAAGTCAGAATACATGATTTACTTTACATCCACATTAGGTAAGTGATCAAGTCAAAGAAAGAAATCAGACTGGTCTGAAACAATTTCTCTTTGATCAGCTCTATGCTTCATGTGTTTCTATTTTTAAATCACTTAAATATCATCTTGATGCTTGAAAATAGGTTGTGTGCTATTTTGTTATAGTTTCTTTCTAGAAAACAAAAGCAGGCTCTCTATTACATTTCCCTGATCCTCCTTTTCAAAAAGATGCCACCTGAGAGCTATCTCACTCTGAGTTCTGAAAGACAGATGCTAATTGTTCAGAGATTGCTCTAGGAGTTTACTTAAGGAATTTCTAAGGCAAATTCAATCAAACTTTGCTGTCAATACATATAATAAGTATATATATATATAGTTAAGTATCTATTAATAGTTTCCAAATCTTTGAGTTTTGATTGCACAATCTGGTCTCAGTATTTGAGTAAAAGGGTATCTTGTAAATGACAAAAAATGTAGCAGCTGTTGGGAAAGCTTTTTTTATGATATGAAGCAATGGAAAACAGTATATATCAATATGCACTAACTACTTACATAACTATAAATTATGTATATCTAAAATGGTAATAAAGTTAGGAGAAGGAACAAGAAGGGGTGGAAAACCACAGAATATAGAAAAATTCTACTATTTGATATAACACTGGGGTCAGTACAAGGATAAAAAAACCTATTTCACATCTTTTTAATTACTGAATTCTTCATAACTAAAATACTGAAACTGAGCAGGCAACTATTCTAATATACATTAAGAGAGACTTCCAATGCTTACAGAAACCTTCTGTACTACATCCATATATTTCCTTAACAATCTTACCTTTAGTTTTATTTCATTTGTACTATAAAGATTTTTTCTTTTGCAATGTACTTTAACTAGCATGCTACATTTCAAGCATGATTATATTCAATATTTTAAGCCTTTGCAGGATGAGTATGCTAGACAACACTCCAAAACAAAGTTTTTGAGCACTCTAAGATATCCAGAAATGGTATACATAGAAAAGAATCATACCAATATATTTTTCTTCTTGTAATGCTGTCACATAGTTCTAACCTGAATCAGTGCAAGATGAATTTCCAGCTCTGCAATTCTTTTTCCTATACAACTTCGAATGCCATAACCAAAGGGGATGGAACCAAAATTGTCTACTCTGTCCAAATTATCTTTCCTCAGCCAGCGCTCAGGTCGGAACTCATTTGCCATTGAGAAATTTTCTTCACTGTATGAAGTAGTATAATGACAGAGTGCCAGCTGCGTCTAAGGAAATACATTATATTTCTATTTAGCTTATTCAAATACACATTAGAAAAATTTAAAAAAGCATTTGCAATTACTGTAACTTCTGCAATATGAGATGATAAAAATTAAGTATCTTTGAGTAATTTTAGAAGAGAAAATGATACCTAGAAAATCAGATCCCTTTCTCAACTGGTCAAACAAAATAATCTTAAAATTGTTTTAAATGTTGCTGGATATATTAGAGAAGATGCAGTGGGGAAGGAGATGGGAACAAAAGTCACAAGTATTGGTAATTGTCTCAAAAAGATAATATGAGAGGAAGGGAGAAGAGAGATATAAGACAATGAAAAAGTTAAAAGTGAAGGATGGGAAAGAAAAAAACCCCACACCACCTCAGGAAAAAAAAAAAAAAAAACAGCCGTAATTGATGTGATGAGGTTTCCAAATAAATGCAGGGAGGGAGATGTGTGTGGAATAACATTTAAGTAATCATATTAACAATTAAGAATCCTGACTGTTTTAAAATTACATTGCTTTAACACAGAAGTGCTGTCATTTAAAATGGAGCCATACAGTTCTTCCATGATCTCTGTGTAATCTTTGAATAGTATAAAGGATTCATAATTTAAAAAGGAAATTAAACTCCTACAAAGGGAATTAACAGGCAAATAATTAGAAAACTGCAAAAATAATGAAATTCATGCTTTTTTAATTCAAGTTGTAATGTTGCACAGAGATGTTATTAATAGACTCCACTATCAAGAATATTAAGAATGAGTCATGATGGCAAATTTGATTAGTGGTTGAGGACCCAAATCTAAAAAAAGATAAACCAACAACAAGAAGTCAATTAGAAAATCCATTTTTGTCATATAAATGGGTGTTATTGAAATACTTTGGTCTTAATGCTCTAGCTTGGTGAAATCTTCTGTAATCAATGAACTGTATACATGTTGTAACAGATCACATTTCATACACAAAAATTAAACTGTTCTCTGCAGAGGACTGCAGTAGAACCTACCCCTTTAGGTATCAAGTATCCTCCAACGATCAAGTCTTTTTGAGTCACTCTTCCATTTCCTGGCAATACTGGATATAACCTAGAGGCAAATATTTATGAGAAGTTCAACAATAATAACTGATACAACTTAAAAAGTTAGGATTCAATTTGCATTCATAAATATACAATATGCAATCACAGCAAAAGGGGGTTTCAAAAGTACAGAACACCTTGGAGATTCAAAGACCTTGAATCATCTATAAGAATATGATTAAAGCCTGAGAAAAGTTATTTACTAGTAACTGGAGGTTTGGTTCATATTGGTATTTGGTTCATGTATTTATTTGCTTTAACCATGTACAAACATTCAATCAATTGGTCAAGCTGGAGATGCTTTAGCACTACTAGGAGCTGAAAAATCCTTGCTGATGCTTTCTCTAAAATCTGCTTACTCCCCTCACCTCACTATGAATGTTTGGTATAAGCATATAAAAAAAGCATGTCACATGCCTTCAATTTAAGTCAAGAAGCTTAAAATTATTGTAGTGGCACTGCAAAGTACCAGTGTGGGGGTAGACGTTCTTACAGTCCATCATACAGACTAATACTTAAAAGGCAAAAATTAAGCTTTCAATTGCCCACCTTAATAGACGTCTTACATATGTGATAGTACTTCTACCATACTTAAAAACATTAAACATTATGTAATATATCAAATGTCATTGCTTAGGCATCCTTGGACACAATACTGCTACAATAAATAAAAGCAGAAGCAGCAAGCAACTGAATACAAACATTAGCATGGACTCAAAATCCATTACAACTACATGGAATTAATTTTTTTAATTAATTATTGAAGTTGTCTGCTACTTACCTCAAGGTTTCTTTCAGCACAGCTCTAATCAAAGGCAATTTTGGGACATCATGAGCAACAGGAACTTGATCTTTCCCCAACTTATTGACTATTTCCTCATAAACACATTGCTGAACCTCAGGGTGCTTTGCCAACAAGTATGTTGCCCAGGACAAAGTAAAAGAAGTCTAAGAAGAAACCATAACCATCATTATGAAGTCCAACAAGATTAGATTAAAAATTAATTTCAAACCAAAAAACCCAACCAGTTTTCAACTGTGTGTTTTATACATTTAAAGTTATAAAACAGACTGGCAGTGATTCACATCTGGACTCAGTGGGATGTTGTCAGACTTCACCATGCCCTCCTTCATCCCTTTTCCATCTAAAAATCCCCCACATATCAAAACAATCCATGCTGATAGTTTCCCAGTGAAATATAAAAACAACATAAAAAACAAATGCAAACAAAGCTACATAAATAATACTGGAACATAAATACTCTAAACAGCAATGGATTAAGTTAACAGTTTTCAATATGAGTTTTACATTCCCAACAAAAACATTTCACAGGAAACCAGATAAGAGAATACTACTCAGAACACTACCAAGCCCTTCTAAGCATATAGTGGTCTCCTCATAGCATCCTCACAACAGAATTGATATTATCACTGCTAAGATTATACTTTATCCTTTGGTAAGCAATGCCACTCCACAGTTGGCACTTTCTACCTCTTGAAAATTTCCACTTGACTGAAATTCAACATCTTATTGAAAGCTTTCTTAAGGAAGCTCAAAGAGGAGCTTATATATTTAAAGTGGTCCCATGGCCCCAAAATGTAAAATACACTCCCTGTCCATAATTAATGATTCTAATAATCATCAAAGCTCCAGAAAATGGGTACTGTGTGAAAAATAATTTAAAAATATTGTTTACGAAGGAAGAAACAGAACACAAGGAGGAGACAGTTCAACTTGGAGCACAAGATGATTTAAAGGAACCCATCATCTAATCCTCTTTGACCTCAGCTGCAAAATTGCACTTCAATGCACATTTGTGATTTAGAACACACTCGAGAGCATGAACTCACTCCACCTGTATTAGCATAGCACTAAGTAAAGTATTTCAACTCTAAGTTTTTGTGATCCAGTATTTACCATTCATTTAATCATAAATCTCTCTGTTTAAGCTACCTGAATTTCAGGGACTATCCCAGTCAAACACTAGACAGACTCAGGACATTTTGCTTCTACGTATGAGCTGCACCCAAGACATTAAGGTCAAGCAAATGGCCTTGCTTGAGCCCATTTCCCTCACAACGATCACTGAAGACAGAAAGTTTACCATTTTCAGTATTTCTGAGTAAGTATGGAAGAGAAAGTGACAATGCAATCATACTGTTCCTTACCTGTGTTGTGCTTAGTATCTTACAGCATTTAAGAGACAAAAATTGTAACCTCTACTGTAATTTGCTTGAATTATTTTTAAATGTGTTTTTTTCAACTTGTATAATGAAAAACAGTTTCACTTTTTAAGCAGGCAACAGTTTTATTTTCAGCTTCTCATTCATTACCACAACAAAGCTTAAGGTTATAAGCACTGTATGGGTAAAAAACCCAACTTCTGGAAATGTCTTATTTGGGGCTTACATTTAAGATGAATTCAGAATGCAAATTCATCATGATGGTGACCTTCTATTCCTTGTCTTCAAACTGAGGTATAATGCTAGAAGTATTCTCGGAACATTTCTTTTTTTCTTCTTGTAATATTGAGTGGCTGTCCCTTGCTAAAATGCAACCCTGTTCTCTTCCTCTCAGAGCTCAGAGGAGCTGGCAATTGTGCCAGCTGTATACAGAACTTCTCTGATATAAACACTGTTTCTTCCCAGGTTCCCAGCTCCTTCATAACCTCTTAAAAATTAGCACTGTTCCAGGGACAGCCAAAATGCTTTGTAGCCAAAAACTGCCTTACAATTTTGTTGAAAGCTTTTATAATCCTCTAAACCTCTTTCAGTTTCTATAATAAAAAGAGATCTGAAGTGACAGCAATAGGGGAAAAAAAAAATCCCTGTCTTGTGCTTGGAAATGAAGAAATCAGAAGTACTGTCCTCTCACAAAAAGACTGTCGCCAGCTGAGAAAGCTGAGTCAAATGGAAAGAGAAACTCTTGTTGGCATGAACTTGAACATTGTCCTTTTATTTTAATGAAAACTGTCACACACTAAAAATGTAAAATTAATGATCTGAAAGACTTTAAAATGAATGGGATGTATAACTGTGCTTTACTTACGAACCAAACATCAAAAAGCTCTCCAAACTCATAAGCCCTTAGGATATTTAACCAATGTAATAATCTTCAGCATATGAATAAGTTTTACATATGCTCTTTATTTTGGAATTCAAAAGTATTATTGTTGGGGATTTCTTTGTTTTCTTTAGAAACCTTACAAACTTTCTTAAATAAAAAAAATCTGAATTCAATTATCCGGAGAGTCTTTTTTCTTTAAGGCTACTTTGCTTTTTTACTTATTTTAATCTTTTCTACCATAAGAGTATTAAACACAGGACTACACAGCACTTTCTTTATCATATTCATATAGATGTCTTTTAAAAAATTGTTCAGTTACAATAATAGTGTTCATTGATATTCTAAATAACACCATATACATTTTATATACAATATAACAACTCATTTTTATCTTTTATTCTTCTGGTTGCCATGCTGCAGTGAATACTAAGCTACACTGATTTCGTGTGATAGGAATAAGAGAAATGAAAGATATATACATGAACTTAATGTTTCTTCAAATGCTCTAGATGACAAATCAGAAAAATAAGGAAAGATAGCTCCTTAAAACACTTCACTAGGTGTTAACATATATACTGAGCCCCACTACCACAGCTCTCTGCCTCAGACTATGTCAGCACAAGCATGCGTAAACTTACCTTACCCACATTAGTGCTGGCCTAACATCCCCCTCCTAATGGACTGAAGCAGAAACCATAATGTGATTCATAATGTGTACCCCAGTTGATGTAATTAGCCACATGTGAAAATTACCAAATTCTACATATGCATTTATAGGTTAATTTTTTCCTACTAACTTTCAGTTGTCTTTCCTATTGTCATCTACCTAAAGAAGTACAAATACAAACCTGATATTCAAACTACTAAAAGAAAATGCATGAAATTCAAGCCTAATATAAAGACAATTGTTATTTTATCTGTTTAATAAACTGTGGAACCGACTCCCAAATGATGGGTTCCTGTAAACCAAAGCTAGAAGAGAACACTGACTTCGTTCCAGTAGAGAGATTACACAGTGCTGTATTTTCTATCGCTTTAAAGATGTCATGACTTAAATATGTCAGAAATTATGTCCTTATAAACAACATAACCCCCCTAAAGATAGCTGTGAATGTTACTGGTTTACAAAAACAACTGTGCACAAGAGAAACGATAATAAGCTTACTGTGTCCACTCCAGCCAGAAGCATTTCAGTCATATTGGCATAGATCTCTTCCAAAGTAAGTTCCTTACTCACTAGGAGGTATGTAAGTAGCCCACCATTCACTTCTTTGCCTTGGTCCAGCTGAGACTGAATGGTCTTCAATTTGTTGTCAACATGGATTTGACCTTTGGGATTAAAAAAAAAAAAAAATTAATCCTCCATTTTTACTTTTCTTCTGGTTCCATTTTCAGTAATGACATTTCTCCCTTACACTACACTACATAGCCAAAAAAAAAAAAAAAAAAAGAATCTATTTTCTCAGGGAAAAGATAATAAAGGGGTGGTGGAGGTCCTTGGGTACTCCTGGTAAGGAAAGACTAAGCTTATAGGAACCTTGGTAGCTCACAGCATGAGAATGCTGAGCACAAAGGACGGACACAAGAGACTACAGTTTCTGACAGTGAGTGAAGATCAAGGTCAAGTTTTTACATCCACCTAGCTTGTTTTCTGATGACTCTGCAAGAAGTGGTGAACTCTGCAGAGCATGATGCCCCTCAGAACACAGAGGCTGCTACAAAATGTTAGCAGCAACCAGAAGGTTGAAGCCACAGAACTGAATTACACTGAAGACAAAGATGAGGAGCACCAGGTAATTACAAAAATTGAAAAACTTCAGCGAATGGCCTTTTGACCAAGCTCACCCACATTCCCATTTATACTTTAGTGACTACAAACAGCATCTTCAGTGAAACAAGGGCTTTAAAAAGAGGAAAACTCCTCTGAAAGCTAATGCCTCGCAGAATGAGCTTACAGAAGTGAACTAGAAACAACATGTTCCCTTATGAAAACTCCACAAATACACACATCACATACAGTGATTTTCAGCATTTAAATTTCTTTTTCATAAAGGGATTAAAAAACCAGACAAGTTTCTAACAGAACAAATTCCTCAAGAACAGTTTTTCAGCTGCTGTCATGATAAAGCTGAAGTCTGCTGTTGTTTTTAAGCCACAAAAGGGAACATGAATACTTTATCATAGGAAATAATTTAAAAGTGACAGTGTAAAAAAGTACATGTTTCACAGAAGACACACCTGTATGAGCATTAAATGGATTCCCTAATGCCTACTACAGGTACAGATCAATGCATATTAAAAATTAAGCATATTAGGCATATTAAAAGTTAAGAAACTAAAGAATCTACTCTCAAGAAGACTTTCACAGGCCCACCTAGACAAATAGTGCTAATAAAATAAATCAAAAAATATATGCAGCTAACAATGGAGAGGGAAAGGGGGTTCCGTTTTTTTTAACACTCCAGAATATTAATACAAAATACATATTCCAAAGACAACTCTTTCTTCTTACTTACATGAAAGCTGATTCATATAGTAGCTTGAAATGCTTTATTTAGAAAAAAACATATTGCAGTACAGCAGTGTATTCTATGTCAATTTACATGCTTGTATATGTATATATAAACTTCACAAAGAGTTTAATTAATAGCTAGAGAATAATTTTTTAACTTTCTAGTTAGTTTTAGTGGTGATTGTCAAAGTGCCTGATTGAAAATTTGCCGAAGTCAACAAAACTACCCCCACTAAAATTTGAGTGGCTTAAGATAAAGCCTCGGTAAAGAACTCACTCCGGGAGCGAGGACTGGGTGACAAAACAGATGAAGACAAATTTAAAAAAGAGCAGTATAAGATAGGGGAATATTTAAAGTGCACTGGTAAAATTATTTTTCAGTAGAGTATTATTTAAAACAGTTCCCTTGGCCACTCTGCATTTAATATGGAACTTACTTCTGCCACAATGTCTTCTTATAATTGTAGAAGAAAAATGCAGCAAGTTCCGTTCAAACACACACAGAACCTGCAGAAATACAGCTGAACTTTTCTACTACTAAACCTTACTAAATTTGAAGAGTCCATCCCAGGATCTGCAGAACTCTCTCCAGGGTTTTGGAATAAGTGGACGAAGCCATTTGGGAATAGCACCTGCATACATAGTGGTCTTAAACATACTAAACATCAACTCCAGAGCCTCAATATATTCAACAGTCTGCTGTGGGACGTTGTTTTCCAGGCAGCCCAACCGGCATTCATACAGAATAGTTGCCACACCTGCACATACGAAATCAAAGAATTTGCTATACAGATGTATATATACATATTAGTAATTTAAGGAATTACAATGCTAACATAATGGAATTACCATCTAAAAATGTTTATTATTGCTGCAGTTGGAAGAAGACAAAATAGAAATGTAAAACACAGCAAAGAATTTCAGCTAAACATTGTAGCCAGACAGTGGTTATTACTATGTCAATAAAATGCTCAGCATGAGAAGACAGCCAGGAATTCCACCAGAAGTAGAGGAGCCCTCCAGCATGCTTGCTGTGTTTTGCACTGCACCACAAATCCTGAGCCTGCTGTGCTGGCCTCTGAACACACAGGGACATACAAGTCCAAAGCCATTTCTGATAACTGGTGATAATGCAGGAGTTCTAAGCAGTGGCTGTGCCTTTATTCATCATATGCTGGTAGTAAACTAACACTGAGTAGGCATAAATGGATAAGGAGCTTACACTCCAGACAGTGATTTTACTGCACACAGTATCTGTGGTTCTGAAACACAGCAAGTGTGTGACACTGTTGCATGTAACAATATTGACTTGTCTCTTTTTCCTCACTTGCTATTATTTCCTCAGATGTTTTTCTTCAGTATTGTAGTTATCCCTGTTAGAAATACCATTTCTGCACCCAAAGAACAATATTTAATATACATTTTATTGTATTATTATTATTATTATCATCATCATCATCATCAATGCTGGATCATTTCTTCCAGTTAACAAGTTAAATCTTACCCATCCATTAGTGTCCCTGAAATCTCTCAGCTCAGTTTTTATAAACGTACCCAAATTATCAAATACTAGGGAGAACTCAGCCAGAAACTACCCTACTGGAGTTAGCCAAAACGTTCTCTCAGTTTGACAGCAAAGCATTTTTTAATTACTTCCTCAACACAAGTTTCTAGCAATTTTTGTTCCCAGCTTGCAAAATCTAGATCATATTACCCAGTTTATTTGTGAAAATATCACATAGTGGATTATAAAAAGCATTCTTATTATCACGATAACCTTATTTAATGATTTTTCTAAAATCCAGTGGGGCAGCTGGGTAATTCAAAAAGGCATTTAGATAATTTATCAAAGTTATTTGTATCAAATCAAATATTTTTAAATAAATTTTGTGCTTTTAAATTCTTTAGTTAACAGTTTGTCCACATCCTTCCAGGAAATATTAGAATAAGTGTCAACTAGATAGAATAACTGGTCTATTAACACTCTAGTATCTTTTTTCTCTGTTTTTCCCATTAAAAACAGGTACAAGAGATAATGATGTTTAACCTTGATCTTCTCCTCCACTAAACTCTCAATAAATTCTCATGTGTGTATGTGTGTGTGTGTGTGTGTGTGTGTATATATATATATATATAAAGAAACTTTTCTTTTTGCCTGTTCTTTGCTTTGTATTTCTTCTTTATTGACAAAAATAATTTTAAAATCTGGCTATTTTCAATTCACTCTTCCTTCCCTAATTTCCTCCCTGAGAAGATATTTTTCTGTGCCTTTTATTTCTCTTGTGCCTCTTTCAGCAACTGCTAGTTCTTATGCATGCTTTTTTGATCTTTATATGATCCTTTAAAAAAAAAATCTTATGCATTGGTTCCCTGGACATTTGACAGTCTAAGTTAATTAACACTGCAATTCATATAGGAAAAAAGTATGTGCCAGGCACAAGTTATAAATGAAAAGCTAAAAGAATGTGAAGAATTTAAGCTAACCCATCAGTTAAAAGTGAATCTGTAGGCTCAGAGTTTAAAATTCCATAAAACTGGTAACTCTTAGTTTAATGCCATTTTTAGACACTATTAACATAGAACAGTCTCAGGTTAGTTTACCAAACAGTCAGCCAGCAATTTGATACAGCACCTCCATAGGTGAGCAATTTGGAAGTTCTTGAAAATCTCAAATTATTCATCTGCCTGTCAGCAAAGAGCCAATGTTTTTAAAAGACACTTCATATAACAAGATCAGGTTGTATGCAGTCAGTCAAAGGAATGCATGAATATGAATCACCAGATTTCTGTAAGAACACAGGAAATGCCATACTAGCTCAGGCTGAAGTTGGGCTTATCCTTCCCTCAATTAATGGTAGCCAGCAGATGATTTTAAGGCAAACGTAACAATCCCACACTTGGCATGTGTAGGCAGGGGAGAGCAGTACCTTTTCCCACACTAAGCTATGAACAGAATTTAGATACATTACACGGTGATCTCCCACCCGGAATTTGGCCACTATGTTGTTAAAATAACATGTCTTAGAAGTCACAGTTAGAGTGTCAACACCCTTACTCTCTAGAAATTAATACAGAATTACAGAGTACTGAAACTGCTCTGGGTCTTCATTGTACCTTTGGCCTACATACCAGCATTTTCACAGGAACTGTCCCTTAATACAAGGTATCATCTCTTAGATCTCTCAGACTGTACAAAAGGAATTCTACTGATATCTACTGCAGAGCAAGAAGAGACCTGAATGCAGAATATCAAGCTTCCCTTTTCAGATTAATCATAATGGGGCACTGGGCATTTGACAAAAATGCCTTACCATAAGCATGCTGCTTTACACCCACTCTCTTTACAGATGTTATACAGGCTGCACTTACCTTCCATTGAATACTTGAAGAAAATGTTGTTAACATTGGTCACTGTTTCCCCATCGTCCTCTTGACTTCTGAGGGTGTGGATTCTTTTAATTAAGTCTGTGATAACTTCATTGACTCCTTCAGAGTAAAGAGCCACATCTTTGGGTTTCAGAATTTTTTGCCTCAGTACACTTCTCATTTTTAGCCATTGTTCCCCCTCCCTAGAAGAAATTATTAATAATGTCCATACACAGTTTTCCTTAACAACCATCAGCTGGGTAAGAGATCCTCACTGAAACTGTTTAGGATTTTTCATGTCAAATGAAAGCAAGTGGTGAAATGGAGATGATAATGTATATTTGGTATTATGCTCATACATTTTTTTTCTCTATGTCCTCATTATGCCTATCCTCGTTAAATTTCAGCATTGTAATATGTATGTACACGTGTAAGTCAATCTCTGGTTTGAGTGACAGAACTTGTCCACTCAGTGTTCTGAATTTGACTCTATATTAGTATTTCAGTAGTAGTTAACATGAGAAATTAGCGACATTTTCTTATTAAAATTACTTTAAATGAATATTTGAATGGATAATTTCTAAAATTGCTTTTACCTAGAATTGGTGCTTAATTACCAAAGTATCAAATTCAGATGTGGCAAATCAATGATTTGAGCTAATACCATAAATTCCATTACTGATACATTGCTATGTTACCTTAATTCTAAACCTACAAAGTAATAGGATAGCAGACGTAGCTATAGAAAAACATTTTACAGCTAGATTCTCCTTTAGTTGAGCTATCTATTGAAATCTTTGTGCTGAAGACTAAAAATCTGAATTGCAGCATCTGCGTGCTTCATATGAGCAGAGTATTTGGGGACAGTGGTTCCAGGGATACTTCTCAATTGTCTTCTGAAGACAGACAATTGTATTTTATGCATTTATTTTAAATTGCTATGTATTTCCCATTAAATTTTGTCACCTGGAGCAATGCTGCTGCAAGTTACAGAAACTTATTGGCCAGCAAAAGGATTTAATCTCTTCAACAGACATTTTCTGACTATCTCTTGATTTAAGATCTCATTTCACAAAATATCAAGGAACTATTAGTTTGACTCTGAACTGCATCTTAAGATTTGAGTCTGCAGTGCAATACATAATGCCTTCTGCCACCATGAAAGAAACAGACTGTCCATGACTCAGGAAATTAGCTTCCCTCTAAATAAACATTCTATGTCAGTGGGGACTGTGAGTAGTTCCCAGTGGCAATTAACCACACCCACATGCACTGCCAGTTTATACAAGCTTTAAAGACAAATAACTCTTCTATAATCAGCCACATACAGAAATATCTGCAAGGGGATGCACTAAAGTGCGAATTTACCATACAGTGACTTCTCTGCATTATTCTACTGAGGCAGGGCTTCAGCAAACAATAAAGCTAAAGCCAACCTGAGCCAACAGGTCCACACGGCAAACTGCCAAGGGGATGCAACAGTCTGGATCATGTGAATTTTCCATACAGTGACTTCTCTGCATTAATCTACTGAGGCGGCACTTTGGTGAATAATAAAGCTAAAGCCAACCTGAGCCAACAGGTCCACGCAGCACACTGCCAAGGGGATGCAACACTCTGGATCTGAAGCACCACATTTGTGCAGCATTGTGCCAAAGTTAGTAAGCCCTGTTCTGTAATACTGCTTCCAGGTAGGTGAGTCAGCTCAGACAACTCTAGTTGATACACATTCCCCAAGAATGTTTTATGCAAGGTAGCTTACTCCACATTCAAACTACGCATCATTACCATCCCTTTGAAAATTTACAGCAGAAAAGACAATTCACCATAAATTCCTACTGTCTTCCCTCCACTAGACACACTAATTTGCCCACACAGAAAAGCCTGAATTCACAGATGACCTGTACAGTCCTTCAGAATATCACTAAACTTTAACAAGAAGATAAAGAAAATGAAGGAATAATAACACTTACGCAGAAATAAGTCCCGTAGCTCTCCCTCGTAAATCTCTGTATTCCTGCCAGGATTCCATGTTAGCTCTTTGTGGTGCTCTACCTTCTGCTCGGAGGACCTGAGCAACCATATCTCGATCTGCAATGGATACAACAAACTGGGGACCAAAGTGAGACTTGAAGATCTTTCCATATTCCTGAGTGTGTTTTTGCTACAATGTCACCAAGAAAGAGAAACAAAAGTAAAGTATTACTAAGAAAACCCGACAATTTGTCATAGTGAATCAATCTATCACATCTAGAGCCTGATCCCCAGCTTTTCAGTCAAGGAATGGTTTGAAATGCCAGGATAAGGCATCTTAACATTACTGTGAAATATTCAGAAGGAAAACAGAGAGGTCACACTGTTCAGGACCTCTGACTGAAAAGACCCAAAGCTCTAAGGCACAAAGCGTGAGTGAAACCAAACACTGAGAAGATGAAAGGACTTGGGGCACTTAAAATACATCCCTTCAGATCAAACAGGTTAGACAGAATATGAAAAAATGAAAAACATGGAAGAAAATATGGTGAAATTAATAGTATAATACAAAGATACAATAATTTACTTTCAATGTCTTTTGTAAATAAAGACTTACTCTACCATTTTGTTCTTTACATAAAAATACTTATAAGTTTCTCGCACCTAACTGAGGACAATGATAGCATAGCAGCCAAGTGAAAAACTGCATCTGGGACAGCTTCAGCAGCAGTGAACTTCAGAAAGACACATTAACTCTGCAAAGGGAAGGAATGGTGTTCCTTCCAAAAGTTCTATGATTCAAGCTGAAGGCAAGCAATAGGCAATTAAAAAAGAGGATGGGAAAACATTAGATTTTGTATATAGAGAGAAAAAAAACCACAAATTTTTTCCAGTAAGATTGCGCTATCACTGTCCCATGAAATGTTATTATTTCAAACAAATTACATTCTGACATGGTCATGAAATGAAACACCCAACTCCCACAAATTCACTTGGAGTAGCGGTACATCATCATTGTAAGGGGGAAAAAAAGTGCAAAGGGGTTGCTAAAAAGATATTATTAGGACTTTAGATCTAAGAAAACTTTTAAATTTTAAAGCTACATTTCAGGTTAAAAGTATCAAGACAAGTGAAACTGACTGAAGTTTAACTTCCACACATTATCTGCATCTAATCCAAAGACATCTGCTGGAAGAGTTATGTTGATTATAAACCAAAGATGTTTGATACAACTATGCTAGTGAAAAGTCTACTGTTGACCCAAAACTAACTTATGAGCAATATTTTTTTAATCAGTCTTGGTTACAGAGATGAATTGTTTAATTGCCAACAATAAGTTCAAGACACATGAATCTTTCTTCAGCATATGGTACCAAGTGCTTATAAAAAAATCTAACTCTCTGCCTGGTTTCCAAATAAAACAAGAGTTGTGCAATTTTGGACTGTGCCAGTCTCCTCTTAACTACTTTTGGAACACAATGGCCAATTTCCGTCAAGTTTATCAGAGAGTTAAAGGTCTCTTATAATGACGCTCTTATCAAAAATCAGCATCTAGGTTCAAATGAGACACACATATTAGTCATCCTGATGAGGGAAATGCTACAGTAAGAACTCAACTGTTATCATTTCTACTTGGTCTGTTACTAATCAAAACCCACATGCAGACCAATGTATGAACAAGCACTCCCAAAACCCGAAGTATCTGTTGCCTTGGGATATTTTAGCGATATTGAAACTGAACTTGGGAGAGAATTGAGGGCATGAGTCTTCAAAGGGAAGCATAAATTGGGAGGTAAGTGCTGCAAGGAAAAGGCAGTGGAGTGAGAGGGTACAGGTCACCAGTCACAAACAAAACAGGTTCAACAAATTTTGCTATTTATGGAGCAGCTTGGTTTTTCCACTGATGTTGAGGTTTACATGGGAGGATAAACTTCAACAGAAAATAAATCAAGTGCCAAGCCATCCAATCAAATAAATGAAATATTAGTTTTAAACCAGAAACAGACAAGGATAAGGTATTTGGACATCTCTTGCTTTCAACAGAATGATGTTCAGCATATCAACTTCGTGTTTAAAGAAATGACTGGAATTTCTCTTCCATATTTTCTATCATAACATATGTTTTCTTTCCCTTGTTCCAAACCTTAAAAATATTGCCCTTCAATGTCTCACATACCACTCTCACACCAGACATTCTTTCACACATCGTAAATCCGAACTGCCAGCATCCAAACCCTCCCCCCTCACCTTTCTTTTCTTTATACGTGCATAGCTCTGATGAGACAAAAGAGATCTAACCCCATCAAATTAGAAATACTTTCCCTTTGTCATAAATGCTGTAGGCATTACTGCTTTGGCCAGGGCTAACTGGAATCATGTTACTGAGAACAGAACCCCCTTTGTGAAAAAGTGCTCGGCTTCCCCACCCCTTCTGCATATAGCATACAAATATTTGTGTGCACCGAAGGACATCGTTTAAGTAGCTGTGCTGGTTACCGAAGGGTTTCAGATTAATTCATTCCTGATGTTCACTGTATTGTTAAATTTAACAGACTGTTATTAATCCAGTTAATGCCTATTTGCATCCAGCATGTATGCAAACTGGGCATCCATGACTTGTAAAGTGATTTTTGAGACTCTAAACAGAATAAAAACTAGTATCATGTTACAACTCCTCCTTATCCTTCCTCCCACTTTCCTTTTTATGAATAACATTCATTAAAGGAGAAAGTATCTGTATCAGCTAGTGGTAGCGAAAAGCATGTACTATTTAGCTTCTCTTGTATTCCTTGTAATATTTTGAATAATTTTCACTGTTTTGACAGTGAAAGAACTTGAATTCAATGGTAGCGTTATTTTTAGTGTTATGAGACTGTGGTGAGTGCCTCAGAGATCCACCACAACAGAGGTAAAGAAAAAAAGAAATACAACACAACAAAAAGCTTTAGCTGTCATGAAGTTTCATCTGCATGTGTCTTGGTTAGAAAGCAATTAAGCTGAGCAATTTGTCTTTAGCAATCTAGTTTGGCTGCCATCAAACACATCATACACTAAGGAGACTAACACTTCTTTTTAGAAATCTACATGGTAAATACAACAGACAAACCCAAGCAACTTATGAGATTATTTTTTTTTCTTGTTTTCTGTCTCTTTGTAATGTTTTTAGGCCCTTTGTAAATCCTAACTTTCAAGTTTTGATCTTCAAACCATTGAAAGTTCTGTCCTGTTGTCTTTGGTTTCCATTTTCTATTTTTTATTTCCTTTTTTTTTTCTTTTTAATTTCAGTGACTTTCAGGCAGTGAACCTCTTGGGGTTGTCTGTGAATCTCTTCCTAGCAGTCTGGCGAAGAAAAGCAAAATAAATGACACATCTGAGGTATTCCCAGAGATCTGTACTGCCAGTGGAAAGCGTTACAGATCCACAGCTGCAAAAGGGTGAAAACCACCGCTTTGCTCCCTCAAACACAAGTACTCGGTTTAGAATCACTTGGACTACATGGGGAAAGGGCCCCAGGAGATGCACTGTGACTTTTTAGGAATGAAACCCACATGTTTGGCAACCAACCAAAAAAATTCATCTTTGGATAGAGTCAGCCTTATGGCAAGACAGTTGCCCATGCCAACATCCAAGAAACGCTGCACAGAGGAAGGACACTCGTTCGCCCAACTCCTGCTGTCCACCTTCGCCGGGCGCGACTCATCATCCTGTAATATGAAAGGAAAACACGTCTGCATCCACATACAAATAGCAACAGTTTTACACAGTAACCTTACAAACAGTTCCTACAAATTACAATATCCAGGGATGTTGCTTGTATTGCGGAACGATTTATCTTTTGGATAGGATATACTCCATAAGCAGCTTGTGTCTGCTTTTGTAGAAAAGAACCAGTGCCCCGTAACCGCCTAGCGTCCCACCACAGTTTTTCCTCAATTCAGCTGCATAGATCTACAATCACACACAGAGAACTTGAGCTCCAACTTGTGTATCAATTTGTTTTGCACAGGTTCAAAAGTGTTTGTTCTGTCTTCATACATATTGCTGCATAATTCCGAAGGTGTTAGTGATAATCTGTAAAACGTTGATTAGTTTCAGAAATTATGTGGAAGAGGCCACCTTGGTTTTAACTGAATCAGAAGCTCAAGTGAAACTTGAGGACACAGGAAAGTATCAAGAAGGATCCACATTTCTAGAACTTTGTTATGAACAAACTGCTGGAAAAGTAAGTCTAGTGAGAGTCAAAGTTATTTGCCTTTGTTTTCCTTCTGTTTATTTTTCTGCATTTATATTTTTGAGGCTGCAATGCATTTAAGTTTTGTGTACATGCTTAATTTTACTACTGATAACTCCACTGAAATATATCTACCTCAAGTTAGACATGCACATCAGTCCTTGTAGCTATAGCAATAAGTAAGTATTACAGGAGTAAAAGGCAGATGGTAAACAGTCTTAAAATCTATAAAGTACATCTTGGTTTAAGCTAGAATAATAGCTTTAAAATGGGCCTCATCATACTTGAAAGGGTCCAGAGAAAAGCAACTGAAAAAAATCAGAAGGTTTTTTTTTAAATGACATAAGGAGGAGGTTGAGAGAATTATTTCATCTGGGAAAGATGACTTCCAGGAGCATGACAACAGCCCACAGATGCATACATCTTTTGTTAAAAGAAGATGCATGTCAGAGAGGGAAGACAAAAAATGATGGGCTTAGTTCGCACCTACAGATTTCTTGCTTAGATTTTCAGGTAAACCTTGCAATCTCAGATATTTTGGAGATATCTCATATTTCAGATAACCTGGGTATCTCAGGAAGTTATGTAATTGCTAACACTGAACTTTGTAAGAACAGGTTTGAGAAACATCTGTGAGGCACATCTGGGTATATCATGGTCTAGGTTACCTCCTCCTCATCATACGTTTCTATATGGTGTAGCTACATTATTTCTTTAATATTTATCTAAAGATGCTTTGAGACACACAGTTACTCATAAAATATATACTTATGGGGAAAAAATATTAAAACCAGCTGGTGAGCGTGAAATTCAGAACAAGTAAGCGAAAGGCTAATTCCATGTCTCCCTTAGGGACAGTGGAGGACAAGAACAGAGTATCACCCAGAGAAAGTAGATGCACTATAAGATGTCTGAGGGAGAATTTAAAAACAGAACATTTACTTATTTATTTG